TATATATATATATATATATATAATCTCTCTCTCTCTCTATATATATATATATATATATATATATATATATATATATATATATATATATATATATATATATATATATATATATATATATATATATATATATATAGAGAGAGAGAGAGGAGAGAGAGAGATAGGAAAATAAATGACAAAGTGTAAAAAATATATGTAAAGATTCCAACTTCTAGAATATATATATATATATATGTGTGTGTGTGTGTGTGTGTGTGTGTGTGTGTGTGTGTGTGTGTGTGTGTGTGTGTGAGCAGCAAGATTTTGATTTTTTTCAGAGTTCAGTATAAGTAACTAGTGGAGAATCGTGTAGCAAAGTGCATGGAAGGGAAGATTATTTTTGAAAAAATATTTGTCACATGAATTAAACGGTTCTTTATCATTACACTACCAACTTATTGATTCATCTGAGCATGTGTGTGTGTACATACATATATGTATACATACATGTCTTTTTATCCTACTTTTCCAATTTTCGAATATTCATATTGGGAGAAAATATTGTGGATAAAATGTTTACAATTCATATTTTGTCCTTTTTTCTTCAAGCACTTTCGACCGTTTCAATTATGATCAAGAACTGTGCGTCATAGGTTTTGGTAGATAAGATTTTGTTGCCTACATCCTTAGACCGCTGGAATTCAAAGCAATCCAAAGTGACGTCATGTCTAACGATCAAAATCGCGTCAGGAAAGCAGATATCAAATATATTTTCATTTGTTTGTTTTTTCCTCGTTTCTCCACAAGTAAGGCAATAAAGCCACTAAGATTCAAGGGGCGGGGGTGATAAGTGTGAAAGAGTATGAGAAAAAGTAAAACATTACTACGGAGAGGAAATAGAACAGGAATTAAGACAGAAAACGACTGAAAATGATTTTTTTTTTAAGATCAAAATTGACCGGAAAGCAAGAAGCCAGTAAAGAGTTCTGCAAGCGAGAAGTCCGAGATGAAGAAACTGTTATTATAGAACTTACAGTTGCATCTTGCAATTTCAACTGTAAAACGATGGGACCTAGCTGCCAATCTCTTACAACGCTTACATTTGTAAAGTCTAGGTAGCAAAGAGGAAAAAGTACTGCGCTTAAATTCATAAAGTCTAGCTACCATAACGAAGATCTCATCAGAACAATTACCATGAAATCATTAAAAAAAAAAGTACAGGGAAGCTACGTTACGGCAGTGGGAAAGTGACTGATGCCGAGATGTCAGGTCAGGACCAGTAACATTAAAGATTTTTCTTTGGAATTTATCAAGAATCTCTAAATACACAGCTGAAGCACTCGACCAGATTTGCTAGCAACATTAAGGCATGGACGAATGACAACCTTTTAAATGTGTAAGATAGATTCTGGCGTGACAAATTGTCTTGCACGACACTGTAAACCAATTTTCCTCCCAGCAGACGTAGCAATTGATTCAATATAATCTTTCCACTTCATATCAGCGAAAACGTTAACCCGAGGTGACATAATGAGTCACTTTCCTGGAGTTTACCAACAGTCATTATTATTTTGTATGTATATTTACTATTTTATACACACTTCAAGGCACTCTATACTGCAGTGAGAAATATTTTATTTAATGTTATAGTGTCTTTTGCATGAAAATGAATTTCAGAATTGTGAATTTTTTCTTGGAGTGAGTGGTGTATGTTATTTTGGTATTATCTACTCATGTTGATAGTATATATATATATATATATATATATATATTAAGAAATGGACAAGGTCCGACAATTTATTTATTACAGACATTTTTTTATGTTTAACGTTGTTATTTATAGATACAAGTATTTAAGCAAATGCTCTGTTTATGATAAACAGTATTAAATAACATTTACCGGCCTGAATGTCCGAGAAATTTTCATAGAAAATATTCGTTCTTTGACAGGATTCGAACCTGCATCCTATACGGAACCGTCATTTACGCTGACGTGCCTTAACCGTCTCGGCCACAAAGAACCTTTTTATTTATTTAGTTTAGTTATTAAATTAATTTAAAAAATATAGACCACAGAATCGTATATTTGAGAAAACACAATATCCTATATAGATAAATAAATTATTTTGCATATAAATATGGGCTCCTTCGTATTCGATACGGTTCAGCCATTAATCTATTTAACTTTTCAACGTTAACAGTACTTGCAATATTCTTTTTTCTTTTTTTGCTTGAATATCGTTTTCCATTCTAATAGGAATCTATGTTTAATGATGAATTGCAATATTTCTATTGGATTAATATTGGGAAAGGCTAGGAACTTTTAGTATCTTTCAAAATGTCTTATGAAATGGGGGTAATAGCTTTGCAAAATACAAAAGTGAATTTTCTTATATGAATGTACTATTTTGCTTAATAATTTTTGGTTGTGATCTGCACTGGTCAAACACCATGTTGTCCAACAAACTTTCAATAATTATTGTGACATCATCAAAGTCTTTCAAAGGACCATTAATGTTATTAATTTCTTACTTATCATTTTAAATTTTCACAAATCTCTTTTTGGAACATAAACACATTTTGTCTTATCAATGTTTTCAATTTCTTTTTTGATTGTCAAGTAATCTCTTCAAATATTTTTCATAATTACCAAAGTTGTCTTATCATCAGCCAACAATATGAAGGCGCATTGTTATAGCGAAAGAGACTTTCCAAAAGAAACAGGAAAATTTTGCTAGAAACATTAAAAAATAAAAAATATACTAAATTGTTATGCAATATTTGTCGTTATATATGGCAGAGTATGTTAACTGTTCCCCTAACAGATTAAGAAGAAACGTGTAGCAGCAACACTATAGTTCTACGGTAGGATGCTGAGAATCCCATGTACTGAACATGTGAGTAACGACGAAGTTTTAATATAAATGAAAACAAAAAGGACGCTTATACATAGAATCAGAGAGTTGAAATTTCTAAGACACATAATGTGGAAAGATGGCTTGGAGTATTTGGCACTTACATGATATGCAGAAGTTAAGAGAGTCAGAGGGAAACATCGAGTGGCCTACCTAACGAGCTTTGCGTAAATGGATGGCATGACCCCATCTGCGAGGGATGTTGAAAAAACAAATTTTACTAAGAGCTACAAAGGATAGTTATGTAGATCTCCCACGTCCTAAAAGGTTATAACACGTAGAACAAGTTCACGATTTATATTCATTATATATATAAATCTACCCTGATAAATGTACCAATATTTTTGCTTCATGACATTTTATTGTGAAAACATTGACTTGCATAATAGCCTATCGTCTGGTTTACACTCCTCCCCGTTCTTTTGAAGAGGAGTAGAGGTTTATCCCTTGTTTCTTGTTTAGGATTGAGTTTCATGTTCTTTCTAAAATCGTTTTCATCCTCCTACACTTCCATTAGTTCCTTGCATCTTAGTGGCATTATCGCCTTGCTTGGGATGAATAGATTTAAATAATCCATTTGAATGAATCATTAATTCTCTTCTTTTTCTGTCCAAAAATATTTCTCATTGTGGGTCCGACCGAAAGGTGGGAACATCGGTTCATCTTTAATCATGAAAGTAAAGCAGTATTGAGCCTCGTTAGTATTTAGATGTGGGGAAGCGTTTGAACACAGAGTACTGTTTGCAACTTCATACAATTTGAAGTAGGTTTCAGGCTCTCAAGGACCTACAAAGGGTTAATAAGAATAAACATGAATTATGTTTCAGGCTCTAAATGACCCAAAATAAGCAAATCAATCAATTCCTTATCGGGTTGAGAACTTTCAGTACAGATTCCTTTAATCATCTCCGTCATTAGAAGCATGTATTTATATTATTTATTTATTTTATTTTAAAGCTTTATTTTTTAACTTTGCAGTCGCTATATTTTCCCTTATGTCTTTCCTTATCTTTCTTTATCTTATTTACGTCCTGTGGAAGACGCTATACTACGTCCAACAGCAAGGCCTCTGATTACAAGCGATACATTTTTGAAGAAAAAATATTACCAGAAATAGATTTTTGAAGGAAAAAAAATTACCGACAATACATATGGGAAAAAAAAAAATTGCCAGCAATAAAAATCTTGTCGGCTTTAAATACCCCATTGAGGTTGATATGCCGTAAAACAAACCAAACCAAACCAAACCAAAACAAATTTTATCTTATTTACACTATTTCTTACAATTCTTTCGGATTGTCGTTCTAGTCTTTTTTTTTTCCATTTCCATGACGTTTCGGCCGTTGTACGTTCCGACCTTCTTTAGGTGATTAGAATTTCGAACTGAACCCTTTATTTCATCCACTGGGATAGATTGTTCTAGTTCCACGCGCCATGCCGCTTCCGGATATCTCAGTTAACTCCCTTTAACTCATGCTTTTATCCCTGGGTCATGTATCCTGGAGGAGTTGAATTTTAAGGACTTATAAGCTTAATGTCTCAGTAACCGATTTTACCAGAGCTCATATTACAATTTTTTGTTGTTATTGCTTTTCTCATTGTTGTCATTGCTATTCATTTCTATGCTTGGCGTACTTAGGAACTTTTTGTGGCTCAACATATGTGCTGTTTCCTTAATTTTTAATATTTTCCAGTGATATTCTCTGTCTATTATTTCAATCTCATCGCACAGGGGGCGGTGATCTCCCTTTTATCTAGATGTGTGGTCAGCTACGACTGATTTTTCTATTTTCCTTCGTGTTACGGCTTTATGTTCTTGCATCTTAAGGGAGCGGCCTATTTCTCCTTTATACTTACCACAGCTGCACGGGATATTGTACACACACTTAGTTATGTTCTCCTTTATTTGGCGGGGGGATATTACTCAGAAAAGGTGTCTGCGAAGTGTTGAAACACTTTTGAAGGTCGTCCTGTTTCTTTATATTTCTCCTTCTCTTTTTATCTTCTCATCTCTCTCCTTCTGTTTCTCTGTTTCTATTTTATCTCTCTTTTTATATTTCCCGTCTATTTTGTTCTGTAGTCATTATTTTTGCTATTGTTTGTTCTAAGATTACACTCTCTTCTTATTTCGCGACTTTATACTTTCTTTCATTTTTCCTTTCTTTCTTTTTTCTGTTTATTCTTTCCCCGCTCCCACTCTCTCTTTCTCTTTCCCCTTATCTCCGCCTTCCTCTCAGGATTATTTTCTTTGCTCTATTACCACATTTCAATGTATTTCCTTCTTTCCTTGTCAATGTTTATATGTTTTTTTTCAGCTTATTTTATTCATTTTGTCAACTTTTTCATACTTCTTTTTTTTCTGTCGCTATCTTTTTAGTTTCCATTTATTTTCCCTTTCTTTTTTATTACTCATTCATGTGCTTTCATTTTTTTAAACTTTTATTTCAGATTTCATTAACCCTTTCGTTTTTCGACTATATTTTTTTCCTCATGCCACTTGTTTTCATAGACTCTTTATTTTATTTAATTCTCTACAACAATTGTTTTGAACTCCTTCTCAACCTCAAAAATATCATCTTATACGTCATTTTTTCGACTGTTCCGCATCGCTTATCCCAATATTTACAGCGTTTCTCACTTTAGTTTTTATGCTTCTGCTCTTCAAGTCCCAATTTTTCTTAGTGATCAGAAGGGAAGACGTGTAATCAAAAACTTTGAGACTTCACACCACAGGTTCACCTCCTCTACGAAATAATCTCACTATAGTTTTTCTTCAATTACTTTTCTTTTAGAACGAATTTCTCCATTATCTTTCTTTGTCTCTTTCCTTTTCACTCTCTTCGTCTTTCTTTTTTTTCTTTCTATTTTTCTTTCTCTATCCTTTTTTCCTTTTTTCTCTTTATCTTTCATCCGTTTTACTCTTAATTCTATAAGCTTCCCTTTCTTTCCTGATTATATTTTTACTTCTTTTTCTTTCGTAATTATATTCTCATTTTCCTCCCCACCATAATGCTTTTCTTTTTCTCTTTCTCTTTCTTTTTGCTTTTCTTTTTTCCTCTTTCTTTTAAAAAAATATCTTTCGCTTTCTTCTGAACTATCCTTCCTCTTTTCTCGCTTCTACTCTTGTACCTTTCTCTCTTCTCTCTATCATTTAACATCTTCTCTTTTTTCCTTCCCTCTCCCTACTATTCCTCTCTAATTCTCTTTACTTCACCTCTCTGTTCCTTCCTTTCTATTCTTTCTATTTCTTCGTTTAGAGCCTCCCCGCTCCTCTTCTCCTTTTACTTTCATTCTCTTTCTTTTACATTTCATTCTTCTATGCTCTGTCCCTCTTTCATTTTTAATTTCTATAATTCCCTCTTTCTTTCATATTTTGTTTCTGTTTCTCCTTCAATATCATTTCATTCATACTTTCTACCTCTTTCGTCGCTGTCTCATTATGCTTTTGTCTTTCCTTCCAACCCATTAAGATCTTAACCAACTACCTCATTCCTCTTCAGACCAACCAATACACAAAATCTGTAATGTCTCATTGTCGCTGTTGAAGCTTAGGAAGCGATCGGAATGCGTCGGACCATGGAAAATTTCTCATAGATCAAAGGCGCCGACTGACACCAGTTCACTGGAATGTTGGTCACAGTTTACAATTAGTTGCCGGCTGACCAATGACCCACGGTAACCCGTCCCTTTGTGCGCCTGTTCGCTGAGCACGCCTCCAGAAGTGAGGGGTAGTAGAGGATAGCAAGTTTGTGAGATGGCGAGGAAGTTAAAAATAAGAGTTGGGCGGATTTTATGTATGGAGTGTGATATGGTGTGTGGTCGTGATAGAAAATGTGTTCTTGAAGGCAAAAGTTTGGTGGAGTGTGGAAAAAGATGGTCCATCAATGAGACCCAACAAACCCACACACGACTGTCGTAAAAATCGAAAATTACCGTCAATGTGGACAATGATATACTTAGTAATAAATGTGATATATAATGTATATAATAGCTTATGAATGTATAAAACTGGTGTATATATATATATATATATAGAGAGAGAGAGAGAGAGACAGAGAGAGAGAGGGAGTGAGATGAGAAAGAGAGAGCTTATAACCTTATCTACATCTGTATGGAGGCATCTATACGAATAAAAGTATCATTTTGTTTTGACTTTTAGAAGATTAATAATTGTGTGAATTTACTATCGAAACATCACAACTGTATATATATGTAATGATGTATATATGTGTTTGTGTGTATATATATATAGAGAGAGAGAGATAGATAGATAGATAGATAGATAGATAGATAGATAGATAGATAGATTGTATATACTTACGAGAGTGCATATACATAATACATGCTTACACACATAATATATATATGCATATTTGCATATATATATATATATATATATATATATATATATATATATATATATATATACATACATACATGTATACGCTCATGAAGGTTTATGAAGAAATGAATAGATGAAACTAGAGAATGGTATGTATAAATATCAATAAAATCCCATGCCTTGTTTTATATAAAATTTTATATCATGGACATATAAGATATATAATATATTATCTGTATATATAATAGATAATTCATAATAACCCAAGCGTGCTTAAGTTGTGATGTTTCGATAGTAAATTCACACAATTATTAATCTTCTAAAAGTCAAAACAAAATGATACTTTTATTCGTATAGATGCCTCCATACAGATGTAGATAAGGTTATTGATACAAATATCGTTGAAGCCAAATATTTAAACACAACGCAATAATTTTTTGATTTCATTTGTATTTTGAAATGTTTTATAAAAATGTACAAACGCAGCTGCTTCAATAGCTATAAAATATGAAATCTATGAAAATTCAAATATGTGTTGAACAGTTTGTACACTAATGTGCATAAAACTTAAAAAGTAGGTCATAAATATTTCAAAGTCATTCTTGTGTTTCTTTGCATCTTTTACTGCTATTACAACCACGAAGCGCTTTTTTTGTAAGTTATAATCAGTCAGTTATGTGCCATACGTGATACACGCTTAAGCGATCATGTATCTTTCGATACATGACTGACGAGGCAGATTTTTTCCCCGAAGCAGGTTTCCATTTATTTTTGCGGTAGACCAGTTGCCATCCAAGGCTATAGAACCCGGTCTGTTCTGCTATTTACCCGTAACTGGCGGGGGTGAGGAACAGGAGAGGTGTCCTACCTTTCCCAATGTAAGTGAATGTAATGTAATGGATTTGACAGGAATTCGAACTAAGTATCCAGAATTATTCAGGAGCAATTTTCTGAGTAAACTTTTATTAAATATCTGACATTTGTTCGTTTTGTAAAATGAACACGGCTCTTCAACAACTTCCATGTGCAATTTCGCTTTTGAAGATTAAAGACTGTGATGGCCATACGAATAGAATATTCAATTTATTTCAATCCAGTCTGTTTCAAAATGTATTATATCTTTGCTTTATTGAAAGAACAATTTCAAATATTTTAAAGACAACAGAATTATCCTCACGATCTTCATATTTCTTCTCTTTTCTCTAATCTGATAAAGAAAACCACTAAAACTGAGAATCAGAGATCCCGACAGCTCAGTGCTTTATTGCCGTGATGCCATCCGATTGACTTATAGGCGTCGCCAAGTTTTCGGGGTATATATAGTATCTGGGAAAAGTTCGGAAATTTACTCGCCTTTCCACGGTGGTGGGATGTGACACAAGTTTGTTTGTTTTTAACTTGAAATACCCATACCCGTACATATGGTCCACGGCCAAAAATTACCCACTCCCTGCGACTGGTATCATGCTGGAGTTGTTAACCTTCCCTCTTTTGGGACAATGAGGTAGGTCCTGCCCCTGGATTGGAATTCCTGGAATTGAGCTTTCTTCATAGATTTAAGAAGATAAATCATATACTACACTTTGATCCTAGCTCGAATGCCGGGAACTGAAGCATCAACAAAGCCCAAAATAATGAAAATGTTTTTTTTTTTCAATTCAAAATTATAGCATTCTTTAACTGGGAGCAAAAACGTAAAAATTACCGCAAGGCCTCTCGATCGGAGAGTTACTGTCGATGTTTCCTACATAGCAAGAGAAGGTGATACGCAATGAGCATGGCGTCTATAGTCTTAAAGATGGAATTCAGAAGAAATAGTAAAATTTGAAATTTAGTTTTACATTTATCCTTTTATCAGTTCATTAGAAAACGGTTATATATGTTGTTAGCCAGTTGGTTCGTGCAATGAACTTCCTATAGACTCACCTGACTTTTATTTTTCAAATATAGGGCAAAAATGCAGTTTTGAGAAGACGCTGCTATTACAAAGGATTAAGGCGGGTAAAGTAAAATTTGGTTTTCATAAAACGGTCGAAAATATATTAAAATAAGCCTAACTACACATCAGTCAAAAGCAGATCTTTTATATAATATGTTCCTTCAGAAAGGGGATGATCATAGCTCTCCACAACTTTCTATCTCTTGTCGGTTTAAGCAATGTTTGTCCTCATACTATCTCTTCTACTCCCCTCTTTTGTGATTCATTTACAGACGCTAGCTCCACTTTAATTATGTGTTCCAGAAATTTCAACAATCTCTTTCTGATTCTAAGAACCGTATTTCGCTATTTTATAAGACTAGTTGATGCATTAGATGCCCTGTAAATATTTCGAAGGGAGAAATTGGAAAAAAATCCATTGTGCTTTATAGCCCTCCCCACTATCCCCAATTTTAACCACTGAATAGCATATTTCAGTATGAAAAGTTGACTACTCATAACAAATTCATGACAGACCAAGAAAAAGTACTAAATTTATGGTAATTATTTAGAATGTAATAATTAGAAGAGAAATCTTTACTAATCGCTCAGTCCACACCCCAAACTGTCACCGATTTTCGATGTATAGTACGCATTGTGGTTTTTGGAGATATTTTATAGGAAAAAGATGCCTCTTATCAGCAGCAAAATACAGTAGGTGTCCTTTTTGCTTCCTTCCTCGTTGTTCGTACACACTGTTCATTGTATTCTCAGCATCTTTCTGTAGTCTCAAGCTTCCTCTTCACCAAGCAATGTTTTACACTAACTGGCTTAGGTTGGAAATGAATGAGATTTCGTCATTTCCTAGATAGCGACTCAGAATAAGAAATTGGAGATCTGAGTTCGAATTTCAGTCGAGTTCGTTACTTGAACATATGCGCAGATATCCTTGGGAAAGTCATGAATTCATTTCTTCTTGTCTCTCCAGCGATAGGTTAAATAGTAGGGCAGACTGGGATTTGTAGTGCTAGTAGTAACCAATCGAAGAGAAGGAGAACTCTGAATACAAAAACGTATGCAATCCTGATGAAGCACAGATGATGCAGCTAAGAAAAGGTTCGTGGAGTTCACATTAACTCAATTATCCCGACTACAGTCGGCCTCATTATACATGCGTATAACTATGCCTCCATAGTATTTACGTTTCCGATATGTGTGTGTATATATATATATATATATATATATATATATATATGTGTGTGTGTGTGTGTGTGTGTGTGTGTGTGTGTGTGTGTGTGTGTGTGTGTGTGTGTGTGTATTTGGTCTTTGGACATAATTGTAGAAATTGTCCAAATGATTGTTCGTTCCGAGTGTTTTCGTTTGAGCTATTATCCATTTTCAGAGATTTGGATTGTGCTATCACAAATGTGTGTAAATACTATTGTAAACGGTGTATAATTTGATGAAAGGCATACATATTCTACATCCCGAATACGGCTATTACATTGTGGCCGTGTACATACCCGAAATTATTAAGGTTTTTTTTTTGGTTTTTTTTTTTGGGGGGGATATTTATTTATTTTTAAAGAGCTTCCACTAGTTATTGATGCTTTTTTGCCGTTGAAGGTGCACATCACATGTATTATTAAATATACTTTGCTACACAGAGTTTATCAAAAACGGATAAAGCAGTATATATACATGCTGAAACGAGACACTGTTAAATGTCATGTTTGGTTGAAATCAGTCT